AAGTCACACTTCCAGTTTATCCCCTCTTACCCATCCCTTTCTGTTCTCATTATCACATTATCATTCTATTAAACACACACACATGCTGAGTAGTTCCCCCCAATTCATGGGGATACATTTCAAAGCATATATATATATATGTATATATATATATATATATATTTTTTTTTTTTTTTTTTTTTTTTTTCTTTTTTTTTTTGTACCAGGGATCGTACTCAGGACTCAGGACCTTGTGTTTGTGAGCCAGGCAGCAGAACCACTGAGCTAAATCCCCGACCTGAACTTCATATATTCTATTTTTCTATACACACATACCAATGATTGGATTTTATTTACAAATTAGGCCCAGTAAAAGGTGAACAAAAATAACTAATAACAAAGTGAACAATTATAACAATATACTGTAATTAACTTGCTAGCTTCATTAGTGTGCTCACAGTGTGGATACACTGGCCAAAGGGATGATTTACATCCTAGGTAGGATGGAGCAGGACAGGGCAAGATTTCATCACTCTACTCAATGGCATGCACCTGAAACCTTATAAATTATCTCCAAAACTTTCCATTTAACATTTTCAGATCACAGATGATCACAGGTAACTGAAACCATGGGAAGCAAAATCACAGGTTGAGGGGAATGCTCTAAAACCATATATAGTTTCTCCTTATTTTTTGCCAAAAGGTAGCATAATGTAACCATCTTGCAATAAACATTTGCACCTTGCAATAAAATTTGAGAACTTAAAAACTTTAACACTGAAAAATAACAAATTCACAAAGAATATTTCATAGAACTCTGTACCTTATTAAAACACCCAAGAGTAGTAAAAACAAGATGTTATAAGGTAAAATAACATTCAGATGTAAATATCCCTTGTTAAATGTTAGGAATATAATATCCCAACAAATTTCATGAGTCTAGAAGCAAGGTCTTTCATGGGCAAACATTAGTCTGGGAAATACTAGTGGGTCCAGCCCCATAATTAAAGTATTTGGACAAAAAAAGGAATTCCACAAGGAGAATTCCTAGTGTCTCTCGATGGGAAGGTTGTGCTGAATCAAACTCATGATTCTATTTTTCATTCACACCTAAATAGCTTCTGAGAATAGCTTTGTATTAAACAATACTGGATGCGTTATTCATAAAATGACCTTGATTCATGAGGAAAACATCAAACTGTTATCAGCTACACATCACTGAACCTGGCTGGAGCTCTAAAAGCTTATAGGAGACTGTTTACTTGTTTTCCAGGAGTGGACCACATCATTGTGGAATCAGACCTGGCTGGGCAGGTCTGGCTGACTGGTGGGACAACCCAGTGTCTATTAGAATGCGGGATTTAAGACAGAAATGCTGACTGGAAACAAACTCATCTCCAAGGAAAAAAGGATCAGACATGGCAGGAAAGTTCCTCGCAGTATTTCAGTCAACTGAAGATTGCTTTTAAGGGTCTAAGCGTCACCTAGAGTTACTTTCTAACTTCAAAGGGAGGCATTCGCTGTGTTTCTGTTCAGACCACAATCTGGCTTGGTTCAATACAGGTCCCACGAACACTTTTGGGGTAGAGAGTTTTAGGACATCAAAATTGCCCATGGTAGCATTGAGATGGGGGGGGGGGTGCCCAGGAAGAGACAGGCCATATCCAAGGACAAGGAACCCAGATGCATTTTTGCATGCAGTGGAGGCGTCAAAAGCTGAAAACAAGTAGGTAAGTCTAGTTCATGAGCACGCTGACGTACGTATTGGTGAATCTGAGTAATAAAGGGGAGAGAATGATTGGGTCTACATCTCCTTAGAATCAGATAAGGGTGAGTGGTTAGTTCTACAGAGTATCCAGTTCATTGTGCTGAATAAGACTTGTAGTGGTTTTGTTTGTATTTTTGTGGTACCGGGGATCAAACTCTGGACCTTGTGCTTGCAAGGCAGGCACGGTGCCACTGAACTAAATCCCCAGCCCACCTGTAGTGGTTTTAAAACATGCCTGGAAATTCTCTGGCACTTCTTCCATTGAAAAGTGGAAGATCTATCCTGGTTCTTAAATTTGAGGCTTAGTAACTTCCCTGTGTCAAATAAAATTTGGCAGGATTGATGCTATGTGACTTTGGAGGCTGGATCACACCACGCAATGCAGCTTTTACCTTGCTTACTGGGACACTAGCATTTGAAGCCCTTAGCTCCCTTGGAAGAAATCTGACTACCCTGAGGCCATCGTGTTAGAAGGACACTAAGGTCACATGGAGAAAATACATTTAGGCTGTTTAGATGACTGACTCAGCTAAGGTCCAAGTTTCAACCACCAGTCATGTCAGTAAAATGCCTCCAGACTATTGCAGTCCCCAACTACTGAGACTTTCCCAGGCACTGAGTTTGCCTCAGCTGAAGTCCCAGACATGAAGTCCAGATAAGCCATCTTTGCTATGCCTTGTCTGAATTATGACTGAGAGAGTGATCTTACATTTTGCAAAGGGCAAAACTATAATGTTTGAGCCTTACAAGGATACAGTTAGCTTGGACTAGCATTACTACCATGCTCATTTTATAGACTAAATGCAAAACAACAAGTAAGAATTTTAGCTTACCTGTTTTCAGTTTATATAATCAAAAAGTAGCTTGTTGACAGTAAAATCTTTATTTCAGACTCCAAAGATTATGATTTTTTGTTGTTTCTTACATGGTGGCACTGTAGGATGGCCTATGAGAATAAGATATATTCACAGCTTGAAGACGGGATGAGATGTTGAATGAATGGAAACTAACAAGAATTAGTATTAAATGGATGAGATCAGCCACCAGTGGAAAAGTAATCATGTAAAATATGATTGGAGTGCTGTAATCCTATAACTTTAGGAGGCTGAGGCAGGAGATGGAAAATTTGAGCCCAGTCTGGGCAATTTAAGAGATTTAGCAAGACCCTGTCTCAAAAAGAAAAAAAAAAGGCAAGGGCCAGGATTCACCTTAGTACAAAGGCTCGAGGTTCAATCCTTAGTGGAGACCTATCCTTAATATGACCTATCACTATATGTTGATGCTGATAAATAAGCCTATCATTTAAAATGGAACCAATGGGGAAAACTTAGAACTGTTCATGTTATAATGATATATTTTAGGGGCTAATTTTAAAAAGTGAAATTGCGGCCAGGGATTTAGCTCAGTGGTTTCGCCGCCTGCTGCGCAAGTGCAAGGACCCGAGTTTGATCCCCGGTACAAAAAAAAAAAAAGTGAACTAAGACACTTAGAGAATAAAATAAAAACAACAAACAAAAACTCCAGTTGTTTCTGATAATGGAGACGTAAAAGGGTCCCTTGACTGGCTGACGGTGATATTTTAAGTCTGCTGAAAAATGTCATGTTAAAAAGGGTGCTTCAGACTAGCACAGCTTCATGATATTGTCCCTAGGATTATCTTCATTTACCCTATTATTTGGCAAAGTACCTTCTGATTTAAATTTAGTTCCTTGGGCCGGGGATTTAGCTCAGTGGTTTCTCCGCCTGCTGCGCAAATGCAAGGACTCGAGTTCAATCCCCAGTACCAATAAAAATAAAAATAAAAATAAATTTAGTTCCTCAAGAAAACTTTCCTACTTGGAAGAGAACATACAATGAAGCTGACAGAGCATACAATGCTTATTTAATGGGTGGTTTTTTTAAAGGTAGAAAATATTAGTATTTGGATTCATCAAGCAGCCACATACACAACTCTACCCCTTACCATCAGCCCTTATGCTCATGGTGACCAGATTGAATGAGCATATTCCTTCAGAAGTCAGGTCAGTTTCTTCTCTCTCCAAGCATCCTAAGTAATAAGGCCACTCGTAATGATCTCCACCCCTAAGCACAAAAAGGCAGAGACCACTCAGGCTTTCATAACTTCATATTCAGGTCACTTTGACAATTAATTGCATATCATCAGTAACTTCTGTGTTTCTGTTTCTCTCTTAAATTTTTCTGATTATTTGTCCTTTAATGTATTTTCTTAAATTCCATTCTGTAATTAGGCAACTCAAAGAGAATACACATTTCCTCATCTGATTGTTTTGTACATAGTTTACAGAGAATGCCTTGGAAGATTCTGTTCACAAACGCTGCCAGTATTTATTTCCACTGATTTTCTTCAAAATAAAAATGATTACTTTTGATGCTTCGTATGTCTAGAATGTTATGTGCTTTACATACGCCCTAGAGCATGGAAAGCACTCAATTGATACTTGTTAAATGAATCCAAAAGCGGATTAATAGGTCAAAGAAAACATTCTTTTTTCCTCAAAGATGAGAGGAAAAGAGCGTTTAGATTTTCATTTGTACTTTTTTTTTTTTTTTTTTTTTTGGTTTTCTGAGACAGGGTCTCAACTATATAGTCCAGGCTGGCCTCAAATTTGCGTCGATCCTCCTGCCTCAGCCTTCTGAGTGCTGGGATTACAAGAATGCGTCACCACGTCCAGCTTCTATTTGGACTCATTTTAACAGGTCGTCCTTCAAGGAAAGGGTACAGGCACCATACCGACAATTTAGCTGTTCCTCGGTGTAATGGAAATAACAAGTAGTATGGGTTTCCCCGCCTTCCTCCCTCTAGGATTGCAACTTCTCAAACACCACCCTTGCGCTTCTAGTAAATCCTACACTGCAGAACAGGCTGAGGACCGAGGAGATGAGAACAAAGTAGGAAATCGGAGCCATGGAAACCGCTGAGCTCAGGGAAAGTGCAAACGCGCAGGCGGATTGAGGGGAAACCACCCCCCAAACACGACGGCGAGAGGGCGCTCCTCGGATGACGTCACGCTCTCGGGTGACGTCACGACCGTGACACTCGAGTGACGCCGTTGCCGCGGCGACTTCTCGTCGTCTCCGCCCCTTTCGACCGCCCCCTCCTCCCCGCGTCCTTCCCCCAATCCCCTCAGGCTCGGCTGCGCCCGGGGCCGCGGGCCGGTACCTGAGGTGGCCCAGGAGCCCTCCCGGCCGCGGCGCCCGGCCGCCCCTCCCGCGCCTCCGCCCCCGCCTCCCCCCGCCCTCCGCCTCCCTTCCCCCTCCCCGCCCAGCGGCGGCCGCTCGGGCCCGGCTCTCGGTTATAAGATGGCGGCGCTGAGTGGCGGCGGCGGCGCGGAGCAGGGCCAGGCTCTGTTCAACGGGGACATGGAGCTCGAGGCCGGCGCCGGCGCCGCGGCTTCTTCGGTTGCAGACCCTGCCATTCCCGAGGAGGTGAGTGCCGGCGCCACCCGCTGCCCCTTCGGGCTCCGCGCGGCCAGCCGGTGTTTTATGTGGGGAGAGGCGGCGGCAGGGGCTCCGTGCCCTCAGCCACCCTCCCCCGGCGGCCCTGCGACTGGGAGCGAGGTGGGCATCGCCCCAGGTCCCCTCTGCGCCCCGCGGCTTGTCACTACGTAAACAAACACGACGGCCCGGGGGGTTCCTTGGCCCCCGCCCAAGCGCGATCCGGGCTGCCGCGGCGGAGCCGGCGGCTGTCAGTAGGGGGCGAGACGCGAGGCTGTCCCGGAAGGTCACGCCTGGCCGAGGCATCCAGCCCTGCATCCCTGAAATGTTTGCCTCGGGGGGTGGGGGCAAGGGTTGCGGGGAGGGAGGCGGCGGCCAAGACCCCGTCCCGAAGCACTGCCTGGGTGATTATCGCACGGCCGTGGGTGACGGGCGCATCGCTCCGTCTCCACTTGCCCCACTCCCCCCTTTCAGGCCTCTGCCCCTCCATCCACCTTATTACTTTTGGGGGGATTTCTCTTCATCAGTTTTACCCAGTGGGTGGCTTTGATTTAGTCTTGACTTTTCCACCCTGCTCCGTTGCCATCCCAGGCTCTGGCTCCCAGTCCTGATGTTCGTGCTCTGTCGCCGAGAGTAACCTCCATCCCATCCCCGCCCGCCGCCCGCTCAGTTTCCAGTTGTCTGACCTGCCCGCCTCCCAGTCTCAGCTCCCGCGGGAGAGCGTTTCTGCACGTCTCATCCTCGTCCTTTGGAGGCCCCGAACTCCGTCTCCTGCTCCCTGTTAACATCGTCATCTATTGTTATCTTTCCAAGTCCCTCTTTACACTTGGAAGTCTTACTTTCTGAACCCTAAAGCTGTCAAGATTCCATCAGATTTCGCTCACTTCTTTGTACCCTTGCACTACTAGCAGTTTTTAGCTAGTCTTTCGGTGTACATCCACACCTCTCGGTCTCTTTTTTAAAGTAGGTCTGATTGCTTTCTCTGTGTGTGGTCCTCCTTTTTGTACTATTTTAGCCCGTTCACTTTTTCCTTTCTTCTTGCTTCTCTCGACCTGTTTTTTGTATTATTCAGCTTCTTGTCACCTTGTGAATTTACTTAATTTACGTATTTTATAAAAATGTACTACATTTTAATTTTTAGTACTTTATTACATAAAATAATACACCATTACGCTTTACAGATAATCTATGTATAACTGTGCTTTAGAATTATTGATTAGATAATGTGACTTATTCTGAGACCTTATAGCTGTTTTCCTTCCTGCTGCTTCCGTTTTTGTTTCCCAGTTCTCCTCTGTGTAGTTTTTGACACCCCCCCCCCATCTCTACTTTGGAAATCCATCTAATAATACACTTGTTTTACACGGTGGCAGTTTGTCTACAGTAATATTTGTTTTCCACTCTTTTATAGCATCTTCCATCTGTGCCCAAAATGTGTTCTGTACTATTATTTGATCTACATTTCTCATATTTTTTATTTCTTAAAATCATTCCACTTTCTAGTGTGCATTTCTGCTCAGATCAGTTCCTAGTATTAATTCATCTCCCTCAACTTCTCAGATTCCAAGGCTAGAGCTCTTCCCTGCATCCATTTCCTGGTTTATTCCGTTTCCCTTGTCCCCAGTTACCACTCATTCTGCCTTGTTTCCTGGCTTTTGGTACTTAACTTGCTGAAGCTTCCTCTTGTCTTCCCAGGACCTCCACATTTCTTCTTATTTATAAACAGTTTTGTTCCGTTGACAAGGAAATTTATTTTTAGGATACATTGTTTTTAATGGATAAATACTAGGGATCACATCTGCTGTCTTTTCTTCAGGAATCGGATATGCCTTTGTCTTTTCAGGCACAGGTGCTTTTGGGCTTTATTGAGCAGTGCATGTGTGGTTTTTTTGAGTTGCATGTATATGGAAGACTAGTGTGGATAAATTAATGGATAGGGGGTTATGAAATTGTAATTCTGTGATTCAGTTTCACTCCAGTCTTCTATACAGAAGGCCTTGGTTGAATAGTTTCTACCCTCCTATCTTGAAAGGGCCAGATTGTTTGGAGCTCTGCCCCCTGAAGACTCTCATTCAGTTGGTGAGTGACTGGGCCATGGCTTTCTGTGTTTGGCACACTCCCTGGGCAATTTCCACATACCAATGCTTGAGGACCTCCAGGCTAGCCGAAGTAAAGATTAAATTGCCAATAATTGGAAAACATGTTCCTATCCCCTGAAACAATAAGCATACACTTAACTAATTATATTTAGTTAAAAGACAAATTTTTGCTGTTCGTGGTGGTGCATGCTTGTAATTCCAGCTACTTGGGAGGCTGAAGCAGGAGGATCACAATTTCAAGGCCAGTCTGGACAACTTAGGGAGGCTCTATCTTTACATAACTTTAAATAAATGTCTGGATGTAGCTCTGTAGCTCCTGGTTTCAGTCCGCAGTAGTGCAAAAAACAGATGTTTCTCACTGACCCCTCCACTCAGGTTTTATTTATCTTTTACAGTGCTGGAGATTGAACCCAGGGCTTTGTGCATGCTAGGCAAGTACTCTACCCCTGAGCCACATACCCTCCCACCCCCACTCAGATTTTAATGTTTAGTGATGAATAGCTTTTCCTCAGTGCAGTCATAATAATGTATTTTATGAATGATAAAAAGTGGATCTCTTTTGACTATAGATATCAATATTAGAGATGATAGAATAAATTCCTCCAAGAAATAATTTTAAATCTGAAGTTGAAGCTGAGGTGTGGTGGCACATGCCTATAATTCCAGCACTCAGAGGCAAAGCATGTGGATCACAAGTTCAAACCCAGGCCTTGGAATTTAGCAACTTAGTAAGACCCCATCTTAAACTAAACAATAAAAAGGGCTGGTGATAGTACTCAATGCAAAGACCCTGGGTTCAGTCCTCAGTTCCACATACATACATACATACATATTTTAAAATTTGAACTTGGTATTAATTCAGTGGAAACTTCAATGTACTGTGGTCTTTTACTTGAACTGTTTTCCTTATGTTTGCTTAATGGGCTGTCTTATATTGTCAAATACATGGGAAGAAATGAAAAATTATGCTTGTGTGTAATGACACATTTTATTCTAAAGATTTATCTTATCTGACAAGCTTTTTTTTTTTTTGAGGCAGGGTCTCCCTTTGTAGTTCAAGCTGGCCCTGAACTCACTATGTAGCCCAGGTTGTCCTCGAACTTGCTGTAATCCTCCTGCCTCAGCCTCCCAAGGGCTGGGATCACAGGCATGTGCCACCATGCCTGGCTCATGACAAGCTTTTTTTAAAAAAAGTTTGTCAGAGGAAAATTTCAGCTGCTCTAAAAATAGTGATAATTGCAGAAGTAAAGGACATTTATTATAGGAAAATTAGAAAAACATTAAGTATAAAAAGTTTTTAAAAATTCTATAATCTTACCACCAGGTGTAATTACTATAAACATAGTATATTCCATGTATTCTTTTATGTTTGTGTAATACACTGTGTGGTTTTCTAATTTTAAAAAATAGCAAAACTTTTACATATTATTAAAGTATGATTTACTTAACTGACATCTTTTTTTTGATATTAAGTAGGTTGTTTTTTACAGTTATACATCTTGGACATAAAATACAGATTTTTAGTATTTAAAATTTTGTTGGAGAGTGAACAGATTTCATGTCTTATATTTATATTATTTTTTAAGCAGTTGAAATAGAATATTCTGGTGATAGAAACTTACTAGTTACTAAATGAATATGCTTATACTTTGGGCATTAAATGTTTACTTCTGACTGTATATTCCCTTGATGTTATTTTCTATGACTATATGGTATAACAGGGTATAGTATGACATACTCTTACTTTAAAAAATGTGATACCAGGATATAATATTTACCTGTTCCTCTTGTGCTGTATTTCTGTAGAAGGGAGCTCTTACAATTTCATTACCATTATAATTGTGTTATTTTCTGTTTTCCAGATCTCTTATCACCAATCTTAGTTAAGCTAATTATAATAATGTATTGACTAGGGAATATCCTGGGATGGGATCTCCTTTATAATGAGTCCTCTGTATTAAAATACATCTTTGAGATGCCAGGTTGGGTTGCATCATTCTCTGACAAGTGCTATCCCTACTAAGGGTAGCGCATGTGCAGTGCCGGCTATTGGTGTTCATACTTGCCCAGGTAAATTGGAAGGTTTCCTTTAGACAAAAAACTATAAAATACTAGTTGATTATCCTTGGTCTATATTTTCTTTCTGTACTCTTTCTCCTCACTTAATGAACTCTTTCTTCCCATTGGGCATTCGTTCATCCTTTTTATTTAGGAAATTATCTGGAAAAAGAAAAAATAGCAAACTATCTGATATCAGTCACTTATATATGCTGGCAATCAATTGTCAGTAAATGGATGATAGAGGAATATTGGACTGTGTGCTGGAATCTTGAATGTAGTAAACATGAGCACAAATTTGATTTAATCATATTTGGACAACAGACCAGAAAAAATTATATTAGAATAGTAGTCTGGAATAGTCTTGGCTTTTTGGGGAGTTTTTGTTGTTGTTGTTGTTCCCTGCTTTCCTGATTAGGATGAACAGGAAGCAGATCTGACTAATAGAACCTATGTTCTGTGAGCGATGGGGAAGAGAGTCAAATGTAGACTGCCTTGTTTTTTGGCATTTTTAAGACTTATGGCTACCTTGTAGAATGAGGGAGCTACTTAAGTGTCCTTCCTTTTTCCCTTTTTCTCCAATCATAAAATTGTTTTCCCGTTCAGAACTAAAGGAGTACACTTTGTATCTTGACACTTAGATATTACTTGGAGTAGGTAGTAAACTTTTTGTCATAATCCTTTATTTTATAAAATCACATAAATTCCTAATTTTCTATATTTTGGCCTCAAAGTATCATTAAGATAAGCCTTTTTTGTCAGTAGTTCCTATTAGAGTTTTGTCTTTCCTAGAAGTTAAGTTGTTTTTAATCCTTTACTCATTCTCTGTGTCTT